TCCTGATTACTTTTTTAAAAAGAAGAAAAAAATAATTAAACTTATTGACGAATCAATTACTTTTATACGTTCCATCTTCCATTGTTGTTACATTTTTTGGTATCATTGACAAAGGTACTTCTACTGTGCCATCATCTCTTAAAACACTTGTCTTCATCCAAACTTCTTTTCCCCAGAGTGTTCTCATATATTGATTTCCACCTCTAATCTTCCATTTTACAGCATCTTCATGACTAATAAATGAAATAGTACAACACCTATGTTCTAAGATAATTTCTATTGAATTTACTTTAGCATGTTCAATATAATTTAATACATCTCCTTGGGTCTGCCAAGTAAGTGGAATATCACAAAAGACTATCACATTGGTTTTGACTAGAATTAAATAAGAGGTTCAAGCTAAATGAAACATGAGATAATTTACAAACTTAGTTTTATTGTTTCGTTTAATGTTTGATTTAATTTAAGTTGGGTAGTATTATTAATTAGGCTATTACTATATGTGTTAATTTTTTGTATTGTGGCTTGGCTGTTTAATGGTTGGTTATGTGGTTTTAGTCTTATCGAATCCCCGTTGGTGGGTGTAGATGAAACAACTGTCAGAGATAATTTTTTTCTTTTTTTTAAAATGAGTTCGGCTTGTTCTTTATCAGTCATTCTCTCAAAACGATGAACCTCTTGATCTTCTTTTGGATTAAATTTATTATTTCTGTCATTTCCTACAACTTTGTTTCTTTTACTAGTTGATGAGTTTAGAGTTATATCATTAGAAGGTATTGTAAGATAATTCTTTGGGCTATTTAAATAATTGTTTCTTCTGGAAAAACTGTATTGACTTCTATTTCTATTAGAGTGTCTTGACGTACTTCTTGATGGTGAATACTTTCTTTTATTTCTTGAACAAAAGGGTGTTGAGTCTCTTCCAATTTGTTGTGGTGAGTGTGATGGGGAGTATTGAGAAGAAAACCTTCTTGAAGAGTCCCTACTTTGAGTATGATAAATTCGTCTTGGTGAAGACATTCTCTTTGGACTATTTGAGTAAGACCTTTGAAAGTTACAAGAGTCTTGACTATGATAGGAACAACTCCTTGAACGACTTCTACCATGTCTTATTTTGATTTGTTTTTGTTGTTCAGACAGTTGTTTATGTTCAAATAGTGTCTTTGTTGAATAGTTTAATTGAACCTGTGGTATATTATCATTTTCTTCATCCAGAGCTGATTTATTTTCTTTTTGTTGTAAAGGATGCATTGTAGAATAAAAGAAAGACTCAAGTTCTTCACATAAACTAATATCAAATGTGTGATTGGTTTTCCATTTAGAGATGATTAAAAGGACAGACTTTTTTTGTTCATCACTACAAAAGGCAACTAGTGTTAATATTTCTATTAGTCTAAACGAAAAATTGAATCTAAAAAAATCAGTCAGAACAGGATTTTTTGAAAGGGTAATATCACATAACGAATCTATAATATGAACTACAACTGTTCTGTATGAAGGCCAAACACCTCGGGTATATTCTTCAATTCTAAAGATTACACGTGATGGCTAATTAAAATTAATCAATAACTTAAAAACTATTAAATAAACATAATGACAAACATTTTTGAAAGAAAAGCATAAGTTAATTATTTCGTTAATACTCTTAGATGGGACTTTTGGAAATAATTCTTTAATTTCTTGTAATTTGTTGATGAGAGCTTGTTCTGATTCTTCCATATTACTTTTTTCAGTGAATTTCTCAAAACGGCGTAAAAGAAACTAATCGCCTTATTTTCATTATTTTTAGTGATTTTCAGAAATAAGTTAAGACAATCATAATTTAAGTCAAACTCTTCTTTTATTCTTTTCAACCCTATTCAAGTTTGAGGCATAACTTAACTTAAAATTATTAATGATCTCTTTCAATGCTATTATGAAAAGTACTCCAATAACGTTAACTATCCTTGGAAATGGAGAGAGTGAAATTGGCTCTTCTTTTATATTAACTTTAGAAAAAAATAGGTACATTTTTAATATTCCTGAAGGTGTCCAACGATGTTGTATGGAATATAAATTAAAATTACCGAGAATGACTAAAATTCTTTTTACTTCAAGTGATTGGAGTTGTTGGGGAGGTTATCCAGGTGCTTTGATGACATACTATTCAACTGAACTTGTTCAATCACCACTACACTTTCCATCTGATCTTTTTGAGCAAATGGATTGTTCTCATTTTTTACCTCCAACTTCATTGATATACAAAGATATTCCAGGATTTACATCTGACTCTACACCATTTACTGATGATTACCTTTCATTTATTCCAATTGTGACTGAATGTAATTCGATTAAAACAATAAACTACCATATTTTGTTACCAACATTTTTTGGTAAGTTTGATGGAGTAAAGGCAAATGAATTAAAAATCCCAGGACCATTACGAGCTAAGTTAGCAATAGGAGAATCTATCAAATTAGGAAATGGTAATGTAATTAATCCTTCAGATGTCTGTGGACAACCATCATCACCTGGGTATTTAATTGTTCTTCATTTTCCAACAACTGATCATGTTAATGAATATTTAAAAAAGGAATTATCGAATAAAGTGTGTTGTATAGTTGCTATTATCAATGATGCTATAAAAGATTATCAGCCATTTAAAGACTTCATTTCAAAACATTCAACATCTTTAGTTCTGTTTTTAAAAGATAGAATTTCTTCTTCAGCCTATGAAATAATCAAGAATGTACAATATACTTCTTTTAGAATGACGAATGAATTACATAAATCAATAGGTTCAATTCTTCCACAAAACGCTCCATCTTTTATTCGAGCAAAAACAGTTCCACTTATTATACCAACTAATAATTGTAAATACTTTGAGGACACTCCATCATTAATACAATACACAATATATCCTAAAATTAAATATACACTAGTCAAAAGAGAACAAACCTTTATTCTTCCTCAAAACCAACCACTTTATTCTCCTTTAGGAAATAAGTTCCAAGTAATATTGTTTGGAACTGGTGGAGCTGTTCCTGGAAAAGCAAGAAATGTTTCAGGAGAAATAATACGGTTTAATAAAACAACTATAATGATTGATTGTGGAGAATGTATTGCGTATCAAGTTGTCAATTCTGGAATTCATCCAGATGATATTAATATATTATATGTAACACATAATCATGGAGATCATATTTTTGGAATTATGTCATTACTAAAGATGAGAACAAAACCACTTACTATTATTGGTCCACGGTCAATGGAAAAAGGATTTAATTTATTATGTCAACACTATCATATAAAAATCAATTTTATTAATAACAATATATTTTCTGATGATTGTGTCGATAGAAATAAAGAGTCTATTATTCAAAATATAGAAAATAAAATAGGTGCACGTATTATTACTGTTAAATTAAATCATCAAGCTGAAAATTATGGAATAAGACTTGAAATTAATGGAACTTCCGTTGTCTTTACTGGAGATACATTACCTTGTTTAAATGATAAAAAGTTATGCATGAATGCGGATTATGTTATTCATGAATGTAATTTTGAAGATGGAATGGAAGGTGAAGCAATTAATAGAACACATTCAACTCCTTCTCAAATAGAAGCAATGTTAAAAGACTGCAATAATAAGGTTATTATATTGAATCATATTGGACAAAGAACTTCTAAATTTGCTGATATCATGAAAAAAGAATATTTAATACCAATGATTTATTCATTTGATGGAATGGTATTTGATGATACATTAGCAACAAACTGGAAACAATATAAAGAGCATTTACTTTCTTTCTTCTCATTAAATGAAATAGATGAAGAAAATGATTAAAACTATTTTACTATCTCATTGTCACATAATTATTAATTTAATTTTATTATTTAAACTTAATAACTAATATTCGAATAAAACATTTTTAGTATTTATGTTATGTATAACCTTCTTTTTTTAGATTTTTTCAATAAAAATATAAAAATGTTTTTCACTAATTACGTTAAAGAACGATTACAAATTACATAACTATTCTATTGAATTTTAACGAAAAAAACTGTCAACTACTTAAGTAATGGTATATTCACAACACGTATATTACATTGTTGTTTTATAACATACAAACAAATAATAATGTTATAAAATTATATCAGAAGTATCTCCTTCTAAAACGAAGAATCACATTTTGTTTTCTATTTTATAAAACAAAAAATGCCAACTAAAAATGATGTGTTTACCAAACAAAGACCAACACATCTTTACGTGGCATAAAGAAATAAAAGCAACTACAAATTTGAAGATCAGTACTAAAATGAGTGAGTGGAATAAGATCAGTGGAAATTGGAGTTTTGAAGAACGAGACTTTTCAAAATGGGGAAAAGACCGAATGAAAGAAATTATTCAAGATCCTAAAACTCCAAAGACTTGCAACTATGATGGTACATTTAAAGTAACTAAAATTGAAGGAGATGTTTGTTTTTTTTTAATAAACAATAGTTGTTATAATATTTTTTTGATTATTTTAAGAGGTTATGAGAGTCATAACCCTAAAATTATATTTAGAATTCAACAACTCATCAAATAATAGGTATTTATTCTTGTTTCACATGGTCAATTAAAAAATATTGTTACTTTTGATGAATTAAAAGTTGTTTTCGCTTCAACTACTGAAGGTCACTCTTCTGGTACTGCTATTGTTGAGGTTGATAATGGTTTTGATTATAGATTTAATTATAAAACAAAGGCTAATGATAATAAAACATTTGAAGCTGCTTTTAAAAAGATGATAGAAGATAATGTTGTTCTATTAAAGGAAGAATTAAAAGAAAAGTTGGTAGCATCAGCTCAATGATTGGTCTCATTATTATTTGAATAATTTTTATTAGTTTTTGGATATTATTTTTCTTCAATAAAAATGAAAGTTGATAAAAACAAAAGAAGAATGGAATGTAAATAAATAATCAATGAATAGAAATATGAAAGAATCAATAAAAATGAATAAGTCATAAAAGAACAGACATTTGTACAGAAGATAAAACAAATAACAATAAATGATAATTATAAATGATAAAAAGATAAATCTTACATTTATTAATAAAGTAAAAATGGATAAAATTCATCAACACAAAATAAAGACAAACTAATAGAATAAAATAAAAGTAATTCAAATAATAATGAAAATAAAGGGAATAGCCAATAAAGAAACAATAATAAACAGAGAATAAAACATTATAATTGCAAATAAATATTGGTAAAAGATATAATGAATGATAACAATGAAAGAATTAATGAAATAAAGTGAAATATAGAAATACATCATGAATAATACATTCAATGGAGAGTTAATGAAATAATCTCAAATAACTAAAATTAAATATAAAAATCAATATCTACTGAAACTTAATTTAGTATTTTTTATTTTATTGTTTTTTCTTCGTTAATATAACAAAAACATTTTATTATGTAAGTTAAATTGATTATTATTTGGTAATTTATCTTTCATCTTAATACCTTCTCAAGTTTATATTTTCTTGGAATGTATTATAATATTATCATCTCTCTATTTAAGTTATAAACATGGAATATATTTATAATACTTCTGGAATAGATAATAATTTATTTTCTTTTTTATGTCATTCAAACAAAAAGAAAAATCTCATTTACTACAGAATTAATTAATAACGTATAATTATGAATAAATAAATGTTGAACATCAACGTAATTATCTAAACTATATTTCTGTAATATAAACAGATTAAAAAGAAGTTACTCAACACAATCCAAAAAGAAATAAAAAAAGAATAAAACTAACGACACTCAACTAAAAAAAAACCAAAGATTTTAAAAGAAACATTTTTCAATAGAACCACTAAAATTGAACACCTTCAGGAATTTTACCAGCTGCTCTTTCTTCTTCAATTACCTTCTTCCATTCAGTCATAACCATTTCTAATGCAGCAACACGAGCATTATTTTTGATTGCTAACACACGACCATTTCCAATCCAATTATCATCTTGGTTCTGATAAGCCAAGTCAAGATACTTTTGTAATTCTTCCATAGTAAATGAAGGATCGCTTTTAATTCTTTCAAGGAAGAGATTAAGAACAGTTGTAAAGTGGTCATCAAAAAGTTCTTGTTCCCATTCAGAGTCGTTTGTGTCCATTTGTTCTTCAATGAATTTTGTAGTTCTTTTTGGACAAAAGTATCAAAAACTTCAATAGAGCAACTACGTTTTCTTTTCTACCAAAAACCCTTTTTTCGTTATTTCATAGAAAACATAGAGAATAAAGATAAAACATCAAAAACTATAAATTATTTTGGCTTAATGAAGTTGAGTTTTGATGGTATTTGAAGAGTACTAAAGATAGTTGGTTTTATACGTGAGAAATCAACATTTAATTGGTCATAAACATTTTGTAAACCTTCATAAGCAGTGTCTTTATCACTTGACCCAAAGTCATCACGTTCAGAAATTAAAAATCTAACGATTTCAACAGGGCAATCTTTATAGTCTTGTAAAATGATATTATATCCACTTCTAACTGAATCAGCTTCTTCTTTTAATAATTGAGAAAATCCTCTTAATACATTTAAATGTCCCATTAATTTTTTCTTATTTACAAAGTCTTGAAGGAAAGAATTTATTGTTTCTGAATCCTTTGCAATCATATCTCCTGTATTAGTTCTATCTTTACGATTAAATTTATGTTTCTTTGTAATTAATTGAGTAATGTATTTATTAATTAAATCAACAACACATTTATCAACAATATCTTCTACATATATTTTTAATAAATTTGGTTGTAAATCTGAAGATGCATATTCTTGAATACATCCAGCAATCATCTCTATACAATCATCATCTCCATAATATTCATCTTCAAACAAGTCTTTAATTTTTACTTCACAATCATCCATAATAGTTTCTCTAATATAAATACATGCCTCATCTATTAATCTATCAAATGAGCTTATAACTGTAGAAAAATCAAATTTATCTGCTAATTCTGTTCCAATAATTTCAGTAACTTTTGATAACATATCTTCTGTTTTTTCAATACATGCATTAGAATTATTAATTATTGAAATAACATATCCAAGAGGTAATGAAACGTCTTCTGTTTCTTCTTGTTGTTCTTCAGTTAATCTATTATATGTAAGACTATCTTTTAATTGTTTACTAACAACAGTAGAATACAATTCTAATGGAGTAACTAATGCATTAACTACTTCATAAATAAAATCACTATTCTTTGATGTTTTAGCAATTTCTATTTGTTCCTTTACAATACCAAATAAATCTACTGGAGCTGTAGTATATAATAAATTATTAATTGTTGATGGTGTTTGCTTAACATCTTCTTTTGCAATATTTGGTACCCATTCAAACATTTTTCCTCTAATTCTTTCACGATATTGTAACTGTGCTCCACGAAGAGCTTCATAAAAATTAGGTACAGAATCAGAAGGAACACCAATTCTTGTCATTGTTGGTATGAAGTCATCAGTCACCCATTTTAATAATGAAATAATAGTAGTATTTGCAATAACCGTTCCACCTAATTTGTCAGGATCAGCATTAGACCATAATTTAAATAAGTCATATAATTTTGTTGTAGTAGACATAAGATAAATATTTTTAATTTGATATTCTGGTGGGAAACATGCATCAGCATCAAATGATGCGATAGTAAGTTCATCGAGATAGTCTTGAAGACTTTTCATAGTAGGAGATGTATTAATCCATGGTTGATCAGCAATTTCAAATTTTTTGTAAATAGATTTTTCAGCTGCTGTTTTAACAAGTCCTTGAATTTTTTGAACATAATCAACACCATCATATTCATATTGTTGAATTTTTGAATTTTCAACTTTAGATTGTTGTTTAATTAATTCTTTATCTCTTCTATCTCTTTCTGTAATAACTGCTATTTTAACTAAAATTTCTGGTCTTTTATTTGCTCTTTCAATAAATTCTTCAAAAATATCATCAATAGATTGTGTTAATAATTGTCTTATTTGTGTAATTTGTTGAAAATATGGATCAACATCAGCTGTATATGGAAGTCCAAACTTTCTAATTTGTTTTTCAATAGCTAATCTTAACATTTCATATGTACGAACTATTGAATGAACTCTTAATAAATTTTGTTCATCTTTTAACAATTCTTCAACTTCTTTAACTTTATCTTTTAAACATTTTAAATATTTGACTGTTTCAATAACTTCTTTTAAATTTCTTTTAATTGTAGTAATTTCTTTAACAAGTGCGTAATTTTGAAATAAATCATCACATGCTTGGCAAATATCTGCAATTTCTAATGATAATTTATCTATTTCCGTTGCATTTTCTTGAGAATTTTCAAGTAATTTTAATCCAATAGAAAATCCTTCTAATTCTTCTTGAATTCTTGTCTTTAATCTTGCATCTAATGACTCAGATTTTTCTAATGCTTCTATCTCTCTTTCATTAATAGTTCCTGTTGATTTATCAGAACCAAATAATCTTTCTATTTCATTAATGGCTCTTTGTTCTGCTTCTTCTTCCATTGTGAGTTTTTTTTCTTCTTGTTTAGCAAGTACAAATGTTTTTACAAGACTCGTTGAAATCATTTATTTAATTTGTAGATTATTCCTATTTTTATCTCCTTCTGAACTATTTTTATTCTATTTTTATTTTCTTGCATTTTTTTCATAAATAACTTTTTATCACTTATCATAATAAATTATTCTATTTTTTATTATATTACTTTTTATTATATGAATATAATAAAATTATAGTAAATTATAATTTATCATATCGTTCTAACCCTCTTGACTATTTAAACCTTCTCTTCTTTTCAGAATACGAGACTTCATGAGCAAGAACGCCAAAACTA